AGTAAATGTCAGGGATAACACTGAGGTTTGTCTTGAGCAATTGGGTAGATTATTCCAGGTAACGAGACGGAGAACACTGGAAAAGAGGCACATTTGGGGAAAGGAAGAATTGGGACCCCAATAATTGGGTCTTGGACATGTCGTAGCTAAGATGCTCATGAGGCATCACAGCAGATGTATTAAGTAATTGATTGAGTCATGTGAATCTGTAGCTTACAAGAAATTGGGGCTGAAAATTTGAGTCTGGAAGATTCAAGTCAGAGGACACGCAAAGCCTGTGAATGAATGAGCTCACTTAGGAAAATAGAACATAAGAGAAAGATTCAAAGGACCCCAACATGAAGGAAACTAAGAAGCAGAAGCAAAAGAGTGAAAAGGAGATTGTGCTATCACAGAAGCTAAGGAAAAGAAAATTCTAGAAGAAAAAAGTATTGAATGCTGCTGAGATTTCAAGTAAGTTACTAAGACTGTCCACTGGACTTGTAAAAAGGTGGTGATCAACCAACATAATGTTCATACAACATGAAAAATTTTTTGGAAGAAGTGTCAAAAAAGGTAGTTTCTATTAAAAAAAAAAAATATATATATATATATATATATGCTTAAAGCCACATGTGGTGGCACATGCCTGTAATCCCAGAGACTTGGGAGGCTGAGGCAAGAGGGTTGCAAATTCAAAGCCAGCCTCAGCAAAAGCAAGGCACTAAGCAACTTCATGAGACCCTGTGTCTAAATAAAATACAAAATAGGGATGGGGATGTGGCTCAGTGGTTGAGTGTCCCTGAGTTCAATCCCCAGAACTGCCACCCGCCCCGCCAAGCCAAAATATGCTTAAAATGATGAATTTTGTTTTTGTTTTTATTTTCCAACATCCATTCACTTTGCTGAGCTGTAAACTTCTTAATACCAGGGAATATTTCTCTTATTCCCTGGATATCCAAGACCTAACACATTTTTCAGTTCATGGTAAAGTTTAATAATATTTGTTAAGTAAATGAATAAAAATGAATAAATTAGGATTTAGAGAATATCTTGGTCAACTAATTTTTGGAAATTTATGAAGTCGCGTGTAGAAAACATTTGTGACATTGGAAGTTAATTTATTCAGGGCAATTAGGCTGTCATGCACTGTCACTGTCAGGGAGACACTTTGGACTGAAAAAAAAACAACAGTCTCTTTGGTGCCCTTTAAAAAAAAAAAAAAAAGAATTCAACTGTGAATGTAATCTCCTTGAATCTTGCCAGTTCTCTTTATCTTCAGTGCTGTTGCCTTAATTCTGGTCCTTTTTATTTCTCATTTGTTCTAACAATTTTTTTTTCCTTCAACTCGCAGCTGGATTAAGCCCTTTAAGTGCTTTGTGTGCTGCAGCCTTCTTGTTGCTATCTATAAATCAAAACCAAAATAATACCAAACTATAAAACACAAAGCTTATGAATATACTAATAATGAAATGAAAGGACTTTCTTCTCCATTTCACTGCTTGTAAAATTCTGGATAAATCATGCAGTTGACACTTGCTCATTTACCCCTGCATTATTGGCAACCTAAGAGTGAGCCTAACCTGCCTGCTGAGAGATCCCTTGTTCCTCCCGGGCTGCCTCTCTCCAGTTCACCATCTTCCAGAGTGATCTGAAATGGCAGACGTGATTATTTCACATGAAATCTGTCCTTGGCTTCTCATGACCATAGGGCAGAGTTCATCTCCTAGCCTGGCTTACAAGATTTTCAGTTTTATGACCTCTGGAAACAACTTCATTTCCTCTGTTGCCGCAGTCATATGTGCTCCAACTGTCTAGGTATTTTGTAGTTCTCTGAATCTCTATGGGCTCCTACAGATCCACACATTTGCATAGGCTGATATATCTTCCTGTAATATCTTCACTCACCAAATTCCTCCATCTTTTTAGATTTAGCTAAATGCCACTTGGTCTTCCTGTCCTTCACCAGGTCTTGGTTAGATGGCCCCTTTGTGCTGCCAGAGCACATTCTCTTTTTGCCCAATCTACCCACTGCCTTGAAACTGACCTCTCTCTTTCTCACAGAACCCCTCCCAAAATATGATGGCCAGCATTTATCAACCTTTTAATGAACTCTACATGGATTGTCTAATTTAATTCTCACAATCTGGCCAACTGGTACTATTATTATTTAAATTTCACTTGATAAATTGAAGACCAGGTGACTACCAGGAATTAAAACCGTAGGCTCTAATGCTGGAATACATACTGTTTTTTTTTTTTTTGTGTGTGTGTGTGTGTGTATATATTTAGATGGACACAGTAACTTTATTTTGTTTGTTTTTTATGTGGTGCTAAAGATTGAACCCAGTGCCTCACCTGTGTGAGGCAAGCACTCTACCACTGAGCTACAACCCCAGCCCTAGGATACATACTCTTAACCACAAGATTGCGAGCCTTCTGAGTACAAAAAGTCAACCTCATTCACTGGCATCCCTAGATTTTTGCAAGAGGCCCAAAATAATGAGAATAGTTGGTAAATGTTTATTACACAAAATGAATGAATTTATCTACAAAAACTTATTTCTGCTATCTCCTAAGAATGCTAAGAAAATTAGATTATGTGTATTTTTATTTTATTTTGTTTCCACAGTGTTCTAATAAGAGAGTTTAAAAAAATAAGACAAGGAATGAAGCACAAATTGGAAGAATGGAAACATTGGAAGGAATTCCATATGAATGAAGAATTAGATTTGTATGGTGTCATGTTGAAAGCTTGAATTGGGGCCAAGAAAGCATCAGGAGAAACAACTACTACTACTGGGAATAAAAACATTCTAACTTTTAAGCTATGAATGATAGAATAGGCTGACCAATAAAGTGATGAGGTCCCCCTTCAGGAAGTGTACAAACAAAAGTCGAAGGACAATTTGGTGAGATGTTGCAGAAGAATTTCAGTGATATAATGAGGCACCTTATTGGCTTTGAAGCTCTTTCTCATCCAGAATCTTAGGAATCTATAAAGTTGGAGGGGGGAAAAGGGGAAGAAAAGAACTCAAATCAAAACAGATGAGGTTATATATTTTAATTTTCCTGTTGGTGTAACTGAGAGTCTGTGTTTATGGAGGAACACATTTGTTGGGCTTTATGTTAAATTAAAAGGAGCAGGCAGATGGGAATAAGCTAATTGAAAAAAAAAATTACTATGGAGACTTTTCTTTCCAGGGGACATCCTGCCATGCTCCTCCTTTACTCTTGAGACTCCTCATTTCCATCACTTATGTTGGAGGTTTCCCGCCTCTATATGACGGGTTTCCCTGAAATGTGACCACAGAGGGATAGAAATAGGCATTCTCTCAAATGGGCGTCTTTTGAGAGTAGAAGAGAGAGGCAGAGAGAAATTGCTTCAATAGAGGAGAGATGGAAGATAGGAAGAAGATCTCACTGCCTGGTGGGACAAAGCTTTGTGAATAAATTCTCCACTTCCATGGAGGACACAGACTTAGAAAGGATGATTCAAAGCCTGAAGGCAGATGGTGAGCAACTCCACAAATTTCTAGGGTTCTAGGTTTTCCTGGGTTTGTGGGATAAAATGAAAAAAAAAAAGAAAGAAAGAAAGAAAAGAAAACACAAGGAGAGACGCAGAGTAAAGAAATAGCATCTAGTGGAAACGTCACAGTTTTGGCTTGTTGCAGAGACCAAGCCTAGAAGTGGGGTGCAAGGCTATGGACATGATAGAGAAGGCAGTGTTAGGGGATACTGGAGTATCCAACAGCGGTGCCCCAGCCTCAGCAGCAGGAGGGGTGATGCAGGTATGAATAAGATTATCAAAGGGTATTTGTGGTAGTCTTCTAATACCAAGGGGTAGGAGATGGAACCTGACATTCTAGTAACTACAGCTGTGGCTGACTGAAGAAATGACTCTTTGCTATCATCTCCTTCCTGAAACTGATTAGTACTCCCTTTAGATTTTACTCAAACTCTCGAAGGGGAGAAATCCTACTTTGTTTAAATTTGTTTCCCTGGATTACAGTGCCTGGGACACCATGTGTTAGTAAATAAGTGTTTCTGAATGATTGATTGAATGTATAAATAAATAAATGAAAAGTAAACATTAATTTCTTTGTGAGCAACTTTATTAGACACTGGATTGAGTAGGAGATAGAAACTACAAACGAGGAAGAGAGCATCTGCGTTCCTAAAGAGGCTTATGCCAAGTGGAGGTGCTAGAGAAGCAACAGTTAATACAGTGGAATCAAGGTTGATGGAGGGCGAGGAAGTGCTAAGCTTAGACTGACTCTAATGTTGTTTGCTTCCAATTCCATAGAAGTATATTGGTATTTTGATACTGAAGGGTCTTTTCTCTCTCTTTTTTTTGTACTTCTTGATTGTTGATAAAATTGATTGGCATTTTGAGTAATTTAGAAAATGTTAAAAGGCAGGATAAATATGAATCATAAGCTTACCACTCTGGCAACTTTTTATTACTATTTTGACATATTGCTTTCTAAACTTTCCTTTGAACATGTTCTACATATGGAGATCATATTACACCTAGAATGTTATCTTAATTTTCTCCCTCCCCCATTTACTATGTCATTAAAATATTCTTTCCAAGCATGACAAGTAACGTTCTTAGTTTTCTTTCTGTGTCAGTATCATGGCTCACTGAATAATACTCTTTCTGTTGGACACCTGGGTTTTTCAAATTTTTAATACTGTAAATAATGCTGTACATTTCAGATGAGATTCACTGAAAGTTAATTTCCAGACAGAGATGAGAAGATATTTTTATAGTATTTTGTGTGTCTTGATAAATCGCTTTTCAGAATGCTTGAAACAATTTCCACCCATTACTGACTCAGTGTGCAAGTGTCTGCCTTACCATGTACACAGGCATTTTGACTTTCTGTCCTGGCACAGGGTCGATGTCAGAGAATCCTTCCCAGCTCTCTAGTCAGGAGAGAAATCCGATTAAATAGTTACATTTGAATAATGCCATACCACTTTCTCATATTAAATTAGTAAAACATTAATACAGAGTTCTCACTTTGGTAGCACATATACTAAAATTGGGATGTTACAGAGAAAATTAGCATGGCCCCTGAGAGGATAACATGCAAATTCATGAAGCATTCAATATTTTCACAAACCTAACCAAATTATGCTATATGCATGTATGACTATATCATGATACCTTCCAATTTTACATACAACTATAATGCACCAATAAAAATAAATACATATGTACAAGGAAGACCAGTAGAGTAGAGGAAAAGGATCAGGAGGAGATGAAAAAAGGAAGTATTGAAGACCGAAATGGTGTATTTATGACTATGTCAAAATGAATCCCACTATTACGTAAAACTATAATTCACTAATAAAAAAAATTAGAAGAAAAACAAACAAAACACAAACCCACATTAAGTGTCAGAGACAAGCCTTGAGATGGCAACTATTGACATTGTTGATGGCAGGATGAATTGATGTAACGCTTTCAGAAAGGTAATTTGGAAATACTCTTTTAAAAAGATCAATGGCCATATAATTTCAGGTCTGAAAATACTTCTCAAGGAGCCAATCCCAAGGAAAAAACAGTTCTTTTCATCAAGAGAATAAAACATAAAAAATGTTAAGCCCCCTCAATGTATGTGGTATGTAGGGAAAATATTTGAGTCAATTGTGGCATATCTACGTAACGAACTTGAGATGCATTTACCTCAAAATACCATAAAATTTTTGTGGAAACATGAGAACACAATAAATTTTGACTGAATTTAATTAGGATTATACAATAACCATGGCATTATATGGGTACGATGGAAAAGGGTCAAAAATAGAGACATTGACTCTTTTGATGAGTACAGAGGTAGACGTGGCATTATAATGCAGTTTTTCTGAACTTACTTCGTCTTGATTTGTTCTCTCTTTCTTTCCAACTCTCCGAGGCAGCTGTTTTCTTTTTTGTCCCATAGCAAAATGGTGTCTAACGGGCTCCTTAACTAAAAGGCATAGAGTGGATGTTTTCAGGGTGAGACCAAGGTCACAAGTAACATGAGATCTTTACATATGACCTCAACCTGGGAGAGCCAAGGAAGTCATACAGCAGTTTGTTTTCCAAGTTTTAAAAACACTCACCAGTCCAGTCAGTGGAAGGAGGATTGCTACAGACCCGGAGGAACTTCACAAAGATTGGAAAGAATGTGTTTGGCAAAGGAATCCCTGGCCTGAGCTGCTGATTTTTAGGGAGAGAAAAGGAAATCCCAGATAAAACTGCAAAAGCAGATGTCACAGAGGACAATAGATTTGAGAGAAAGAAGTAACATGGTGTGAAGTATCACAGGAACTCTCAGATAAAAATATATTCAGGAACTAATCTCACAGCCACCCCCTCCCATGGGTACACGACAACAGGTTCAGGACAGGGTTCAGTGAAGGGAAGAAAGTAAGTGTGAAATTATCAAATCAAATATCATAGGTATCAGTGCAATATGGCAGGGTGGGCTTAAAGGTGAAGAATGATAATTGAAAGTTCAATACAGAAAACATGGGAGGGGAAATGAAGTAGTAGGGTCCCTTTGGACAATAATGACTTGTAAGGTAATCTTGAGTATGAAGTAGGGTGAAATGAAAGATAAAAGGACAGTGAGATTAATGTGATATTATCAAAGTATTATAGCACCAACCACCTGATCAGAGGGAGGAAATCCATGATGATCCTTGAAATGTACACAAAGCTGACCCAGGACTCAAGAACATAGATCCTTGCCCATGTCCTCTAAGACTCTTCATTTAAAAAAAAAAAAATCCACTGCATTATATTTATTTGTAAGTGTCTTTGACAACATCATCTTCCAAAAGGTTAAGGGAATCAACAGAGAATAGAAAAATTTCAGCCTTAAGTGGGAACAAGAAGGAAAACATTGATACCAAAGTGGATTTGGTAAAGAATAGGGAAAAGTAGCTGTGTAAGTACACTGGATATAGTCATAAGGCCTAGATTTGAAAATAGCTTTTGGAAAAGTTTTAAAAGTAGAATTTGTCATCTAAGAAATGGGAAAGTCAAAGAACAAATTGTGTTCTCCAGATTAAAATGGAAACTGTTTACCAGTTTTAACCTACAAGATCCCAAATGCCTACTATAAACCTCATGAAAAATAGAGTAGACGAAGACTCACCAAAAATAAACCAATAAGTAAAAATTATGGGCAGTATATTTCTGGAATCTCATAGAAATTCTACTCATACAACAGCTTTTGGATCTGGATGAGGAGAGGGAAATTGGCAGACCATTCCTGGGTGACCTCACAGAAAGACAGAAAGAAGGCAAAATGTCACATTGTCCATTGCGCAATCTGCCTCCCTGCCCAGAGATGCGGAGATGGATCATGTAGAAGTTAAACACATGTATTCAGAGACAAGTGAAACCCCATGTTACTGTCTTATGGTTTGGTCAAGCCATTAACTTTCCTAAGCCTTATTTTCATAATCTCCAAAATGAGATGCATATAGTACCTGCCTCAAAGATTAGCGAGGAAAACAAAATTAGAAGTGCTAATTCATGCAAAGCACCAGGCCCAATGCCTGAAACATAGTAAGCATTCAGTAAGTATTTATTTATTTTACTCCATCCTTTTGGAAACTGGATTTTCCAGAGAACAGGAAGTTTCCCAAGGTAGTGAAAAGGAAGTAGGAGGAGGAAGGACAAGGGCACTTAATACCCTAGGAAATAGTGTCTCTTCCAACAATGTAGTGAGGGGAGCAAAGAGGAAAATCAGGGCATCCGGAGCACCACGACCTTACAGCGAAGTAGTGGGCAGAAAGAAAAAGGTCTCCCCTCAATGGATCTGCACCAGGCAACAGCATGCAGCATGCAGGGTCCTGGCTGGGCTTGATGCTTGTCAATCCAATCAAGGCTTGACAGGTAAAACGCAAGGAGCCCCATTACGTTTGAAAATAGCCTAAATTCTCATACCATATTTAGAACATACTTATACTAAAAAACCCATTGTTTATACAAAATTCAAATTTGACTGGGCATCCTGTATTTGTATTTGCTAAATCTGGCAACCCTAATTTAACCTCTGGCTGCAGTTAGGAGGAAGTTTGACTTGCAAAGAAATAGAAAGTGAATGAAGCCACAGGAAATGCACACACCCTGACCCTTGGTAAAGACTGATTGAGTATGGATCTCGGCTTCTCTTTGAATAAGTAGAAAGATACAATGCCATCAATTAAAAACTCATCAAAAGTTCAGCAGGAGAAGGGAAAAAATAAATTGTGAAAATTCATTCGGTAGGACCTTGAACATATGAACTACAGAAAACAGGGGGAAAGTGTAGAAATCGGTTAGCATTCCAGGAAGTATTGTATTCTGAGAGAGGAAGACATTAAAAGGAGAGAAATTTACAAAGTTAACAAAATGAGATGTAACAGATAACCTTAGAAAAAAAGGCATTCACGGCAGCATTACAAAGAGTGAAAATGTGAATAGCAAAATCTAAATAGTTTTTGAGGCAGTAAGAAGAGCTGATGCTGCAGTAAAGCAAATCATGAAATGGAGTTGAAACTGGGAAAGTATTTCTATCCTTGGAGTAAAAGATTGAAGAGGTGAAATTATGAAGAGAACAGCATAGACGTGGGACACAAAGAATGGAGATCAATCTCAAGCTACATGAAATGAGAACAATTACAGTATATGCAAAAGCAAATCATTAATGCAAACTTTATAAAGGCTGAAAAAAGAAGGAGGGGAAAAATGGTGGTCTAGGAAGTACTGATAGAGCACTCAGGGTGGACTAGGCTTCCTTCTTTGGCACCTTATCTCTGTTAACTCTATAAGATCCTCGAGTGTCTATGAAGCAGCTACTATGTTAGCTCCATTTCACAAACAGGAAAACTGAAAAATTGAGATGTTGTTCATCTTGGTTTTTATTTTTTATTTTTCAGATTTCGTTCAAGGTCACAGACCTAGTGAAGGAAAAAGCTGGGATTGAACTCAGACCTTCTGGCTCTTACTGAATGCTCTTGACCTCAAAGTTGCATGGTATCTAGAAAGAGGACTACCTTTTGCATATGCAGATTTTAGGTTTCACTTTATCACATCCAGGCAACATCAATGAAGAGATAGCCACACCCAAAAACTTCACTGCAAATACTTAAATATTTAATAGAGAAAGAAAAATGTTATAAGCATTCAGGCTGTAAATAAAACAGAACTGAACGAAAGAAGTTATTTACAGAGGAACAACAATCAGACCAACCTGAGACTTCTCTATAATGCTAAATGTCAAAAGACAAGGAAACCATTTTGCAGAGTTTTGAAGAAGCCTGGTTACGAGCCAAATTGTATAACCAACCACATGGTGCCTCCCTCATATGTGAAGCCAACAGCATTTGGCCATTCCATGCTGTGAGTGGGTTCGGATCATACCATCACACATGCTCCTTGAAGGAGTTAGTTGGAGACACATACCTATTCTAAATGATCAGAAGAGTAATCAAAGTTAAAAGTCTGGGGAATTTGTGGCAGCTGGGGGCTAACAATGAGTACAAAGGTAGGTCGGCACAGAATACATAGAGTCATGGAGTCTGATCTAAAGTGAATGTCAAAAGTATTGTTTCGAAACTGAATGCAAATGTCAATTAAAATTCTGGACATGGAAGATATATGATACACAAAAGAATAATTTAATAAACACAGTCTGGTGTGCCAAATCCCAAATTATATTTTAAGACTGAGAAGTGGGAAGTGGGAAGAAAACTCTAACTAGATTCCTCCTCTGAACTGCTGGGTTGTAGAGACATATCAGAGTGTCTAGTTTCATTTCTAACTTTGAGATTTAAAGAGACAGGAGTTGATGTGCGCTGATTTGACCCTTATAAACCTCGTCGCACACAAAGATCTCGTTAGCTTTCTGTGCTCCAGCTACAGTGTGTGTATTTTTTTTAAAATGTTGATGTTGGTTTTGTGTTTACGATTCTCAAAGGCTTCCTTCTACCATGAACCCTTTTCATCTACTGTTCCCTCTGGTAGGAATGCTCTACCTAGATGGTCACCCTTGAGTTAATGAGTTAACACCTACTTACTCTTCATATTTCAGGTCATATTTAATTTCTCAGGGTATTTTTCAAGATTCTGTGTCTG